ACACCAGCAGTACAACAACAGGGCTGGCTGGCTTACTTGCCCGTGCAGACGAAAGGAGCACCGTCTTTGTGACTGGGTAACGATGACAGCTCCGAAACTCAAGCACCCCTTCCAGTGTTGTCGATGGGGACCAGGAAGCCAGTTCCCGCCCACAGCCACCCTCTGGACACCAGGACAAAACACCACCTGGGCCTGCACCTCCTGCACAGTTCGAGTTGAGTCCATTGTTGCAACCACTCCTCAAGAAAAAGGTGTGGCCGTCTGCTTTGGTAAAGATTTCAGCTTGGGAAACACTCTGGGGGGGGGGAGGGCGCAGTTCTACCCACCCTACAGGGACATTCACCTCCAACGCTCAGCCCTCCGGTTGATCCCCACTCCTAGTGACCCTGTAGGACCGGGTAGAACTGCCCCTATGGGTTTGCAAGATGGCGCACTTGACGGGAATAGAAAGTCTTTCTCCCTTGCGGCAGCTGTTGGTTTCAAACTGTTGACCTTGTGATTAGCAACCTAAGACATAACCACTGCACCACCAGGGGCCCTCCATGGCACCAAGCAACATGTTGGGGACTCAAAGACTTAATTCATCTCCCTTTTTTTTTGGACCATGTCCTAGGAATTGAAGAAAAAATTGAAATTTTTAAAATGTTGCTCAGACATAATCTGGTCGGTGTACGTATGTTGGTGGTCATTTGTACCTGTCTGAAGAAGTGGTTTGAAACAAGGGGCAGGGTGGTGGGGTGGTGGCAGAGACTCATCTCGTTGCAGGTCTCCTTTGTACCAGAGGGTGCCGAACAAAGGGGGCCTTTCCTTCCAGCACGCTCAGGGCTCAGGCAGTATCCCATTTTAGAAAGAGGAGAAACCTGAGAGCCAAAGAAGCCAAAGAATGTCTCTACTTAATAAATGGCAGAGCCAGGGTAGTGCAGTTATACCTAATACTTCTAGCTGAATTTATCAAGAATTGGAGGGGGTTTTTTATTAGGGAACTTAATTTTTTGGTTTCAAATCACTTTTTTATACAGTTGCAAATAACCATGGGAACACATACTAGTTTTATGTGTCATATTTTTAAAAATGTAAATAGTTCCCTTTTATCTTCTAGGAACATTGTGCTAGTCTGGGTTGACTAGAGAAACAAATCCAGGGAGACTCGTATGTGTATAAGACAGAGCTTTATATCAAAAGTAATTGTATATTAAGGAAACATCCCACCCCAGTCCAGATCAGTCCAGATCAAGTCTGATATTAGCCCATATGTCTGATACTAGCTAATAAATTCCTCTTCCTACTCACGCAGCACATGCAATGATGCCAAATGCAAAAACATCACAGGCCATTGGGTAGAAAGCATCTCAGCACTGGCATGGGTCTCTACATGGCTTATCAGTAGGAATGTGTAGCAGAGAGAGAGTGTGTCCCACCTCCAGGGAGGAAGAGAACAGTTCCCAGAATCCTCAGGAGAAGGCCAAGCCAACACAGAGGCACCATTGACTATGACCCGATTGACAAGCTAGACTCCAACCCTTTGCTCAAGTTGACAGGAGATTATATAACTGCCACAGACATATTCTACAAATTCATGGTGAAGCTCTGACTTGGTAAGATTAACCACTTTGCTCAGTGCCACACATTAACCTGTACGATGCCATCTTTACGAAACACTAAATACTGGGTCGTGGCTCGGTTTGTTTCAGGACCCCTTTTCATTCCCATTGATCTCTTTATGATTATTTCTCCCCCCATTCCACCCTGCTTCAAATAATTAACTGAGCTATATTTCTCAAATTTTGTTGTAGATGAAAAAGAGTCTCAAATGGACATGCAAAGCTTGTGGGGAGAAGCAGTCCTTTTTGCGGGTGAGTCTGGAGAAACAGCACCTCAGACCCAGTGCAGAGAGCAGGCAGGACCCCAAACTGCAGAAGGTGCTTCTTGTGGGCTCCCAGCATTCCACAAGCAAGGTCTTCCTTTCCTGCAAAGTTCGCTAGACGCAGAGCTCCTGCTGGCCGCCTCGGTTCCTCCTCCTTCAGGAAGTGAAGTGACCGTGCAATGTGGACAGCCTCCTCCGTGGTTTCTTCTGGAATGAAGCCAGGGGCAACCGTGAGCCAGGAACATTGTCCTTCCTGCTCATAAAGAGCGGGAGTCATGGGAGGGGAAGAGGAAGTGACAGCACGTACACACACACACACACACACACACACACCTCCCCACACACTCTGTGTTTGCTGCTGTTGGGCCATCAGCTCAGAGTCACCCCACGTACCACAGAAGGAAACGTGGCCGGGCCTGCTCCACTGCTGTCGTGGAGCCCGTCGGTGCACCCACTGTGTCATCCACCGCGTTGCGGGGCTTCCTCTTTTTCAAGGACCCTCTATTTTACCCAGGGTCCTTCTCCAGGGACCGGTCCTGCCTAATAAAATACCAGACCTATGACTCAAAGTCACACCACCTTCACCACTCAGGTGAAGCATTCTGGCTGCGCGGCCTGCCAGACAGACAGACGGGTTCTGTTCTTCGGGCAGTCCAAGTCGTCTCCGTCTCCTCCCTCAGCGCCTGCCCGCATGCAACGCGGCAGTTCTCGGGACACCTGTTTTCACTGTCCTGCTTCCACAGCCCTGTGAGGCGGTGGAAAATGCCCTGGCTTGGGGCAGGCGCACCCGAGTCCTCAAAAGCTTTGTTCTTTAGCACTAGCACTTTAAATCGTCTTGTGCAGCCGATTTTCCCAGCGTAGCCCATGGTTGTAGGGTCACTGCTGTTGTGTCCTGTTGGGTCAATTCCAACTCATAATGACCCTATAGGACAGTTGTTATGCCCCTAATCTCTGCCTCTGGTGAATGGGGCAGGATTGGGTTATGTTAAAGAGGATTGGGGGTGGTTTGCTATAGTAAGGAGTCAGGATTAGCCCTGACCAGATGTGAGGGCGTTTCCCTGCAGTGTGGCCTGTGGAGCCTGTTATCTGAGAGGAGAGAGAAGCGGCAGAGAAGAAGTGACCTCAGAGCCAGGAACATGTCCCTGACTGAGAACTGCCCAACCCTGGGGAAAGCTTGATGCCAAGACACACAGAGATCTCCAGGGAACACCGGGCCACAGATGCTGAAAGGAGACAAGGACTTCCCAACAGAGAGAACGCCTCCCCCAGAGCTGGTGCCCTGAACCTGCACATGCAACCTCCTAACCGATGAGAGAGAGCACTTAGTGCCAGTCGTCTAAATTACTCGGTTTGGGTTTTGCAGCTCCTGAATGCATGTATAGCTCGTTCTTAGCACAGCAGTGGAAATGCTGCAGGAAAGTTCACCAGCTCTTATTTCGCGTCGTCACGCAGACACTCTGCCCACACGCTCACTTCTGTTTTCCCGGGAAAGGAACTCCTCCTCCGGTCATCTCTGTTCCCATAGGTGGCTGGCAAATCAGAGAAGGAACACAAGGAAGCATTCCTCGGCCGTTTCCCTAACTCCACGCTGCCTTTCACTTCCAAACAAGTTCCTGTTGGGGAAAGCGGGGCCTCTGGGGATTGTGGGTCAGTGTCCCCCGCATACTCGCTCAGACACAGACCGTGGACGCTGACCTCCCAGGCACTGAGTGGCCACTGGAATGCATTGCCCGTGGGATCCAGTAATGTCCTCAAAAAAGGGTAGCAGATGACGGGGGCACATGTGGGGGGGTGTCTCCTCTGCCCCTAGGCCCAGTCCCTCATCCCATCACACTTCACCTTAAAGCATAAGTTCAAAAATAAAATGATTAAGGGTTTCAGGGCGGCAGCACAGATCACAAGCCCATGCGGCTGGCCCTGCCTATAGTCTACACTCCACCAAGAGTGTAGTTGAACTAAGATTTCACTACCACACTACTCTACAATTAGAGCACGCTTCAGAGTCTCTTGTGACGTGCACTTTGATCTTTGTTTCCTGTCTAATGACCTTTTGCTTGTTTCACGGGTGATGTTCTTGGTCGTCCCGCAGCTCCTCAGGTCTCCTGTCATCAGTGTTCAGTGCATCCAATCTCCTTGAGATGGATTGGCGCGAGTTCGTGTTTTGGCTCTTGTAGACGTGCTCTAGTTTTCTCCAACTTCAAACAACTTAGATATGAACAATTGCTGGTGTGTTCCACAGTCAGCCCCGGTCTTGTTTCAACTGCTGATATTGAGCTTCTCCATCGTGTCTTCCCACAGATGTTGTCAGTTTGATTTCTCTGTTGTCAATCTGGAGAAGTCCACAGGCATAGTCACTTTTGTTGTTACTGAAAAAGTATTTGCTGTGAGCAAGCTGTTGGTCTTGCGAATGCTGCCATGCAATCGCCAGCTGCATTTCTATCACCAGCGTCACATATTCCAACTACTGTTCGTTCCTAACTCTTTGTTGCCAAGTTTTCATTCCAGTTGCCAATAATGATCAGTGAATCTTGATTGCCTGCTTAACAATTTCAGACTAAAGATGTTGGTAGAATTCTTTAAATTTCTTCAATATTAGCCTTAATGGTTGGTGCATATATTTGAATAATAGTTGTATTGATTGGATTTATTTGAATGGGGAGAGAGAACCCTATCACAGACAGCCTTGTACTTCAAGATCATGAAACAAAACTCCGTTGAGTCATTCTGACTCATAGTGACCCCATCGGCAGGGTAGAACTGCCTCTGAGTTTCGGAGAGTTCATTCTATATTGAAATAGAAGCCTGGTCTTTCTCCAGTAGAGCAGCTGGTGGTTTCGAACCGTTGACCTTTCTATTAGCCACCAACATATAACTACCGCATCACCAGGACTCCTGTACTTCAAAATAAATCTGAAATGTCCTTTTTGGTGATGAATGCAATGCCATTTCTCTTGATTGTTTCATCCCCAGCACAGTAAGTCATGATTTTCTGATTCAAAATGGCTGATATCAATCCATTTCAACTCACTAATTCCCAGAATGTCCACTTTTATTTATGCCTTCTGTTTCATTTATCACAACTTCCAATTTTCCTAAGTTCATACTTCATACATTCCAAGTTCTAATTATTCACAGATGTTTGCAGCTGTTGCTGTTCATTTTTAGTTGTGTGAAGGTCCTGAAGGCTTTACTGCCCACGACTTTTCTTTATTCACGTAATTATGGTTGACTGTACTTTGAGAAAGCAGCTCGTCCTCAGTCATATTTCTCAATAGTGTTAGTCTGGGCTGACTAGAGAAACAAATCCAGAGACACTCCTATGTGTGTAAGAGAGAGTTTTATATCCAAGAGTAATTGTATATTAAGAACATCCCAGCCCAGTCCAGATCAAGTCCATTAGTTCAATATTGGCCCATATGCCCGATAGTGGCCCCATCAGTTCACGCAATGACACCGGAAGCAGGAGGATCACAGGCCAGTGGGTGAAAAGTCTGTGGAAGCATCTCGGCACTGGCGCGGCTCTCCATGTGGCTCCTGCAGCTCCAGGGCTCTGGCTGCCATCAGCATAGCTTCAGGTGGCTTGTCAACAGAATGTGAAACAGTGTGTGTGCCCCGCCTGCAGGGAGGAAGACTGGCGTTCCCAGAATTCTCAGGAGAAGGCCATGCCCACACAAAGGCATCATTGGTTATGACCTGATTGACAGGCTAGACTCCACCCTTTTGCTCAAGTTGACAGATTATGTAACTGCACGGTGTCCAAGACCATATTCAGTGCCATCAAGCAGATTATGATTCATCGCGACCCTACAGGGCAGGGCAGGACTGCCCTTGTGGGTTTCTAACACTATAATTCTTCATGAGGATAAAAAGCTCATGTTTCTTCCATGGAGCAACTGGTAGTTTTGAACTGCTGACCTTTTGGTTAACTGTCCAATATGTAGCCACTATGCCCCCAAGGATCCTCTAGTAGGCCATACATTTTACTTTTGGTTTACCACCTGTCTCTGGAATTTCAACCCCATGAGGACAGTGATTTTGTCCAATAACTTCACCAGAGCCTGGCATATCATAGGTGTGCCATAAATATTTATTAAGTGATTACTCGGTTAAAAATTGTACCTCCTTTTATTTTGTATTCCTTTAATTATCAGGGAGTAAATACCATTTCAGTGTGTATTGGCAGTTGGTGTTACGTCTGTGAAGTTCTTACCCGCTCTGCTGTGTACCATTCAGGTGCTAGTGGGACAGCCAAATAGACGTCAGCCCTAGTGCCTGCAGCTGTTCATTTGAAAGCCAGTCTAGAAATAGCAGTCATTAGGTGCCTGTGGTGCTTCAGGCATCGTGGGACCTGGCAAGAGCACAGCTTTACCCTCCCTGAGGTACACCTCTAATGACTACTCCCCAGAACCCTGCCAACACTTTCATACTTAACGTATTTTTCTCTCTCAGGCTTACGGTGAAGGCTCCGGTGCTGACTGTAGACGCCATGTCCAGAAATTAAATCTGCTGCAGGGGCAGGTGTCAGAGATGTCACTCAGGTACGGTTGTTTGAGGGTAAGGTTCTCTTGCCGGCTCTTTCCCTTAAATGGGTCCTGGAAGTATGCAGTGGAGACAGCCCTGCAATTGCCTGGTCTGACCATGTGGTGATGAGACACCCTGAATAATCCACTAAAAATAACAATGGTATTTTTGTTTTTGTTTTCTAACACACTAATGAGTTGGTAAGAAAGTATGTAACCCTCAAAAGTGAAAATGAAGTAAGAGCCAATATCCAAAGAGGGGGGCCCTGAGCTGCTGGGATCACTTGCGTGCCCCTGTGGAGGGCTGGGAGCCATGCAGGAGACAAGCTAGGAAGCGTAGACCCCATTCAGCGTGAAGAGTTCCAGTAGGAGCTCCCACAGAAAGCTGAATCCCCAAAGAGCCACACCATCAGTGGACAACTTAGCTAGGAATGCCCCTATCAACAACAGGCGGCGGTTAGGAGTAAAAGAAGAGAGGAAAATACCTTTTTTAAACTACATAAGTATTTTTCAGCTTTTTCCATGCCTTTTGTGAAAAGTGTAAAGCTAAGAATTTATTTTTAAATTGTCCTAGGCAGCAAATAAGTTCTTCTGTAGAGCGACAGACTTCACAGCATCCTACCGATAAAGTTCCAGGAGCAGATGCTGCGCTCAGCATTACTAAACACTCCGAGAAACAAGTCACTCTTCACAAAAGACAGCAAACACTGGACAGGAAAGCCAGACCTACAAAGACTTCAGAATAGATCATACTGTATGTTTAATATGCTTCATGAAATAAAAGAAAGGCATGGTCATAAAGGGGCAAGGGACTTTAAAAATGGCCAGTTCGGGTTTGAAGGAACCTGTAAAAATGAAAAATCTAATCATTGAAATGAAAATTCCAATTGCTAGGTTAAACAGAAAAGAGACTTTTATTAAAATGGAAGATAAATATGAAGCAATGATTCACAATACAGCACAGGAAGGAAAGGGGAAAATCTGAAGGGGAAGTTGAGAGACAGGGAGGGTACACAGAAGAGATAGAACAAGGCAGTTCCCTGTCTGACAGGAATTGACCGGTTGGCAATGGGGTCTCTGAATCACTGACCGCTCTCCGCTGATATCCCTCTCTTGGGATGGCCCATGTCAACATTTCGCTTATTATTGCCATTATTTATTTAAATGAAAACCGTTTTGACTAACAAAAGCCAGAAATTGTCCTGGTTAATTTTGTGTAATACACATTTGGTTAATAATATAAAAAGAAGAGATAAGACCTGACATACTGCTTTTTTTAAAAAACGTCACTGAGAATTTCTATTGGATATGTTGCAAAAAGAACTCTTTGAGTCTCACTGCCATCGAGTCAGTGCCAAAGGACCCGATAGGCCAGGGCACATCTGCTCCTGTGCGTCTCCTGGACTGTAACTACTACGGGAGCACAATCCCCCGTCTTTCTCCCGAAAAGCGATCAGCTCGTGGTTTCACACTGTAGGCCTCGCAGTTAGCAGCCCAACGTGTAACCATTGTGCCGCCAGATCTCCTCTTAGTCTTAGCTATAAATATTTATCTTATTCTCTTACATTCATCAAAAGGGAAATGTGGGAGAAATAAATTGATTAAGAATGTCCTATTCTTAGACCAGAGTCTAAGAACGGGAAAATCTATTCCTTGACTTTTCCTATTATTCCACTTTTCCTAATAACTTCGTTTGTTTTGAATTTTTTCAATTGTGAATTAGGTGGGGGTTTTACATTTCAGATCCTCATCTCTATTCAACAGTTCAAACCACTCATCAACACCCCCTCCCCCCTAATTTTTTTCTTCCCTCTTGGGGACTGCCATTCTTCCTTTCCCCAAAGTCAGCCCTCTGGTCTGTTACATCACCCTTCCTCCTGGCACTCCCTGCCTTGGCGACTTCCAAAGTCCGTTCCCTTTGGTGCATACGTCTTTTTCTTGGGTTTCAGCCTTACGGTAATGGTCTCCCAGATGCTTATCCTCTGTGAGAGCATAATGGTCTCCTGGTCTATCCATGTCATGATTGCTTTTTGTTTTCATCTAGTTTTATAGTGATAACTAGTCTTCCAGTGTGTGTATGTACCAAAGCTTCTTTATCATCTCTTCTTCTGTTGCTGGGTATTTGGGCTGTCTCCATCTTCTTGCTGTTAGAACAGTGTCAGGATGAACATGGGAGTACGTACTGTCTGCTCATACCATGACGTTCACTTCTTTAGGCCATGTAACCAGCAGGTGTACTCCTGGCTCATGGAACTTAATTTCTAGTCCCAATTGTTTGGTGGTGGTGATGAGGTGACTTCCGGTCAGTTCCTACTCGTAGCAACTTTACATAAAACAGACAAAACACTGTCCCGTACTGGGCCATCCTCACACTTGTTCTTACGTTTGAGGCCATCGGTGCAGCCGCTGTTCATCCATCTTGTCCAAAGTCGTCCCGTTTGCAGTGCCTCTGCTTCACCAAGCATGGTGCCCTTCTCCAGGGACTGCTCTTCTGCAACATGCCCAGAGTCTGTGAGGTGAAGTCTCACCATCCTTGCCTTAGGAGCCTTCTGTCTGTACTTCTTCCAAGACAGATTTGTTTGTTCTTTTGGCATCCAGGGGGCTTTCACTATTCTTCGCTAGCACCGTAATTCTAATGCATCGAACCTTCTTCGCCCTTCCTTATTCACCGTCTTAACTCTCATGCATGTGAACCAATGGGAATACCAGGGCTTGGGTCAGGCGCACCGTAGTCCTCAATGAGGCCTCTTTGCTTTTCAACACTTGAACGGGGTCTTGTGCAGCGGAGTTACCCAATGCAAGAGTTACTGGGTTGCTTTAGGTAGCACCCCATCGCTTTCCACAATGGCTGTACATATTACAGACCCACCAGCAGTATACGATGGGTCCAGTCTCTCCCCACCCACTCCAGCATTTGTTGTTTTCTGCTTGTTTTGTTGTTAACCTTGGCTGTCGTTGGTGTGAGGAACTGGCTCCTCGGTGCTCTGATTTGCACCTCCCAGGTGGCTAGTGACCATGAGCATTTCTTCCTGTGTTTGATGGCCATTCACATGCCATCTTTGTTGAACTATCTGTTCGTGTCCTTTGCCCACTTTTCCATACTGCTTTTTCTAGGTAAAGAAACTGAGGTACTATGCCCTGTGCACGTCTGGTAGCATTCAGAGTTCTGTGTTTCACTAGAGCGGTGGTTCTCGACCTTCCTCATGTTGTGGTGACCCCCAACCATAAAATGATTTTCGTTGCTACTTCATAACTGTCATTTTACTACTGTGATGAATCGGGCGACCCCTGTGAAAGGGTCGCTCGACCCCAAAGGGGTCTCGACCCCCAGGTTGAGAACTGCTGCACTAGAGGGTATCCATTTGATCATGTGATATACCTACCCCATGTGACAGGAATGAATGTGACCTTTGGTCCTCACCTCAGTCTTCGCATCTTAACCATTTCCATTGGCCCCCAGGGGCTCCAGCTCCTTGCTGTCTGCTTTGTGGGATAGAGAGCCCTGCTTGCCCCTGGGTCACGCACTCTGACAAATCCAGGGCAGTAACAATCCTGCTCTCCGGTAGGGGCTGAGCAATTGTCAAGCCTTCGGTCTGATGGAGCATCCCTGTGGACAGCAGGATCGCTCAGCTGACGTTCCTTCTGTGTACCAGGCCCTGAGCAACGCATGTACACACGAATCCCTCATTCCTCCTCCGCACTACCCTACTCCCATTGTGGAGGAGGTTCAGCGTCTCACACGCACAGCTAGTCACCAACAGAGCCAGGATGCAAACTCTAGTCTCTGGCTAGAGAGTCTACCCTGTCTGCCTGTGGCCTGGTCCCTACTGATGGGGGCCTGTGCCCAAGTAAACAGACTACACTCCTGCCCAGCTCTTCTCAACTGCCGCAGGACTTGGGACCCCAAATCCCCCCAGAGATGCTTGCTATCAGCTGTCAAGTTCTTGGACCTTTCCTGGTCAATTCACAAAGAATGTATGTACTCTCACCCAAAGGTCTCCGCAAGAACCTGCAAATACCATCGAAGGAGAAAGCGCAGACCACGAGCCTGATGCAAACAGGAGTCTGCAGGTGAGCCACGAGCACCTCGCCCAAGCCTAGACTAGCCTGCACAGGGCTTTGTGTCACTTAGGGGCTTCTGATGGTTTGCCATTACTCATTTGTGCAGCAAGCCAATGCATGACTTTGCTCGAAGAAATAAATCTGACCTTCTTGTTAGGCTGGAGACAGCTGTGTGTACCCAAATTGCAGCACCCTGTAAAGGACTTTTCCTTCAGTCTGTGTGGAGAACACCCCTTCTGAACTTAGCTAGACCACTCCTGTTTTCTCCCCTGCTTCCTACAACACAGGGCATGCCCCCAGTGAATGGGGGTGGGGGGGCGCAGGATGGGTGGGCAGGGGATGCGATTGTGGCGTACCTGGGTCTCTACTCTCCCTCTCTGCCAGACATGAGCTTCTGGAGTGCGGGCATCACATCAGTTGGTCTCCGAGCCCAGTACCTCGTGAAAAGGCTGGCAGAGTAGGGGCTCGGCATGGGCAGTGTACATGCACAAGTGAGTACCTGAGTAGATGACACTACTGGCCCATCCAGGATGCTGTGGGCACATGGGCTAACTACTGTGTCCTGCCAGGAAGAGAGGGAGTACAGACAGGCAGACTGCCCACCCACCTGGAGCAGAGTCCTGCCTCTGTTTGCCACTCAGCCTCTTTGCACTGCCTTCTAATTTTCACCCATTTACAGACATTTTATATGGTTCTTATAGGAAGTACTTTTTGCATCCTAAATTTTCACTTAGACTCATATTATTCTTCCATTATCCTCTGTACTGTAGTATTCAATGACTTTCACTTAAAAAAAATCCACAGAATATTTCAATGAGTAGGTGCACAGTATTTATTCCCTTAATAGGAGCCCTGGTGGCATAGTGAGTTGCACTTTGGCTTGCTAACTGCATGGGGAGCAGCGCGAAACCACCAGCAGTTCTCCAAGCCCTGGGGCGCTGTGAGGCAGAATGGGCCCAGTAGCAATTTGTCTTCTTATTCGTTGACAGGGACATCGAGGTGGCTTCTGTTGCAACCAGAACATGTGCTCTGTGTAGACATACACTTTGATTCACCGCACGGTGCTCCTTCTCTGCTTCTGAAGTCACTGGGCTGGGGAACGTGGCCATTTTTCTGAATCTTGCCAAACTGTGCCTGCACTTTCCTCGAAGGATGCCAGTGTGCACGCCCAGTAGTGCCTCAATTTCCCCTTTCCTGGTTAGTTTCTTTTTCCTAGTTATAAGGTGGACATGAGTCCTGGGACCTAAGAATGGGGCTGTGGAGTTTTGATCAAAGGGCCTGCTCTTCAACTCTGAGCATAAACGCATCTCCAAATCCTGCAGGAAGGACCACCAGCCACAGAAAGCCGTTGGCTGAAGTATCTAGAAAAGGGCTCTGCAGACCCGGGGCTGGAAGGAGGCGGCGTGCATTTCAACAGTCAGCCCTCATCTAGGTCGGAGAAGCCAGACCCTCGCTCCAGCAGCAACCACCCTAGAAAAAGGTACCGAGCTCAAAACCTCTTCATCAGTGCCCTCGTTGACTTGCATTGGGGGTGAGGGGCCACTTCTAACAATCAGTGTAGTGGGTGCTGGCGGGCAGGGCAGCCGAGCAGCAGCCGACATAACCAGCTTTCCTTGGCCAGGCACCACGATGGCGGCCTTTCTACAGGAGGCTCTTAACTGAGCATCTCAGACTGTACTGTTTGAAGGGGAAGACCGATCTTAAGGGCAGGGTTGAGAAGTGTAGTGAGTAGCTGAAGGTCTGGGAGCTTTTAGCCTACACCGGGAAACGTAATGCCAAGGATCTTGTTGCTCCTCTGAGGCGGATGCTTTTAGGGGTAATTCTCAGTTTACAGTAAGAATTTTCCATGACTAGTGAAAAGCTGGGGGCCCAGGGGTGTAGTGGGCTACACAGCGGGCTGCTGACTGCAAGGTAAGCACCTCAACTCCATTAGCCACTCTGAGGAATAAAGATGAAGCCTCCCGCTCCCATAAAGCTGTATAGCCGCGGAAACCTTGGGCAGCCCTGCCCCGTCCTGCAGGCTCACTGCGAGTCAGAATTGACTCCATGGCGAGTGCTCGTGTCGCGAAAAGCTTTAAAGAGGGTTGAGCAGACAATGGAGTGCTCTGGCAGAGCAGCAGCTCGGCAGCCACCTAGGGGGGCCAGGGTTCCAGGGAGTCAGAAGCTACAGATTCTGCTGACAGGACTCGGGCTGATGGCACTTTCCTCCACACCAGGAGATGGAGCCTGTGCCCAGCTCGGCCTCCACCCAGCCCTGGTGCCCAGGCCGCGGTGAGCAGAGAAGTTGACTCCACAGCTGCCGCACAGCTCCAGGTCAGTGTTTCTCTTCGGGTCCCAGTGACTAGTATTAAGTTATGGGGGTGCGGGGCCAGCCCCACCCATTGTTAATACTACCCACGGGTTCAGTAAGCACAATTGTAAGGTTGAGATATATATATATATGTATATATATATATATTATATTAAAGTCATTGAGAACATGACAGATATTACAATAATGTAGTCAGACACATTACATGGTAGCATTGCTCACCTCAGCCCCGCTTGATGGTCCTCGCGGGGGGAACCTGGCCACAAGAGCAGGAGCAGCCTCGGGGACCGAGAACTGGGGAGACTCCAGGCCCCTGAGAGCCAGGGAGAGCCTCTGGGTTGAGAGTTTCCCGGGCTCCGGAGAGAGCTTTCGGGCCCCCGGAAGCTGGAGAGAGCTTCTTTCTTTATTGCTAATCAATCATTGTATCATTTTGGGGGGACATCATTAAATAATCACACGTCACAGGAAGGGGCAGTACAATAGGCATACACATTGTAGGAAGGGGATGTATGATAGGCATAAGCACAACAGGAAGGGGATGAGCTAGGGGTGTGCCCATAGGAATGGGAAGGTCTAGGGGTATACATGTGACAAGATGGGCGGACCCTAGATTCATGATGGCAGCCTAACCTTGGTCATCCTTGGGCGGGTATGACCTCTCTGGTGTCTCCTATAAGGAAACAGACAACTACTATCCTTATCAGAAGGGAGTGGGCCCTACTTGTGGAATAAACAGTGGTGTCTGCTTGCTCCAGATGGCTACTTCTGATGACCTCCAAGTGTATAGTCATTCTCAAGCAGCTAAGTCTGGCATATATTTGGGAGAGACAACTTGGGAGAAATCCTTCTGTTTCCCACAAGTGACCACTGAGTATAGGACACTAAATACTCCCCAGAAATCCCAGCTTCCCACTTGAGTGTCTTGTTGGTCACAGACCAGCCCGTTTCTCTGGCTTGTACCCCACTTCCCTCCTACACTCAACCTGTGACCAAGAGGCCATCTTGAGCCTTAGAATAGTGGTTCTCAACCTTCCTAATGCTGCAACCCTTTAATATAGCTCTTCATGTTGTAGTGCCCACCAACCATACAATTACTTTCCTTACTTCATAACCGTAATTTTGCTACTTTTATGGATCAGGCAACCCCTGTGAAAAGGTTCAACCCCTTAAAGGGGTCGCGACCCACAGGTTGAGAATCGCTGCCTTAGAAGCACAACAGCAGTCCAACAGGGATTTCTGGACTCAGAGCGGTTTTCTTTATTCTCCAAAGAGCAAGGGATCTTTGTGCAACTGTTAAAAAACAAGCTTACCCTGCTTTGCTGAGCAAAGCCCTCCTTGCCCTTATTCATGGCAGACATTTGCACTTCCAGCACTACACTTAGCATTCGTTCCTCACCTAGCTGACTCCACCACATGGGTTCCTGCAGCTCAGCGGCCTGGCCTGACTCCACTGCCACGGCACTGGTCCCATCACTGCCACAGCCCTCACCACGTCTCAGATCTTGGCACCGAACAGCAGCTCAAAGCCAAGTTTGCGCCACTAAGTAGTTTTGTGACTCAAATTAATTGACCCTTAATTCCCAAACTATAGAATACATCAGTGATGATGATGGTAGCTGAGTCTTTACCACATGCCAGCCCCTGGGTCAAACACTGAAGCTGCTTGAGCCTGCTTAATACATGACTGTTCGTTGCTACTTTGAAGGTGAGGGACTGAGGTTCATCAAGGCTTAAGTAGCCAGACTGAGGTCACCACAAATTCAGGAGCAGAGCCTACATTGCAGTCACAAGACCCTCTTGTCCATGGCCTGGGTGACGTGGCAGTTGCTGTTAGGTCCTGCTGAGTCGGCTCTGGCTCACAGCAACCCACTGTACAACTGGGCGGAGCACTGACTGGTCCTGCGCCATGCTCAGTTATCTTTGAACCGGTCATTGTTACAGTAACCCTGCCAACCCATCTCAAGGGTCTTTTTCTTTTTTTGCTGATCCTTAGTCAAGCCTGACATCCTTTCCCAGGGAGTGGCCTCTCTTAATAACCTGTCTAAAGTCCATGAGGTAGCCTCACCATCTTCCCTTCTAAGCAACATTCTGCTGTATTTCCTCCAACACAGGTGTTTCTTCTTCTGGCGGTCCGTGGCTTTCAGTATTCCTCAGCAACACCGTAATTCAAGGGCATCAGTTCTTCTCCGGTCCACTCTCTTCCCTGTCCAGCTTTCACATGCATGAGGCACTTGAAAATACTATGGCTGGGGGTAAGTGTAACTTAGTCCTCCAAGTGCTATCTTTGCTTTGAGTTTGTCTTGTGAAGGATATTTGCCCCATGCAGTACATCATTTATTGACTGCTGCATTGATTATGGATCCAAATAAAATTAAACTTTTTTTTATTATTAAATTAGTGACAATTTCTATCTTTTCTCTGTCTACCAGTATGCTGTATAATGACCCAGTTGTGAGGGGGTTGGTTTTCTTCACAGTGATTTGCAATCCATACTGAAAGCTGCAGTCTTTGACAGTGTGATAAGGCTGTATTGCTGCTTTTCAATTTACTGTCAGGGTGAGCCCACTTTTCAGGACCTTTGCGTACTGAGATTGGTGGTCCTTGAACCTCCATCACATGCCGAGGCCTTGATACAACCATATGCACAGCAGCAGCATCCACCACCCAGTTCCATCAGACAAGTCCAAGCAGGGTGGCATCTCAACACATCCTTTTCCAGATGGTCTAAGGCCCTGCCTGCTCTCACCTCCATCCAGCCACTCCCCTGTCCCGTCCCCATCCCCATCCCCCAGCCTGATTTAAAGATCACCATCAGGTGGGGATTATTTGTTTTGGAAAGTCTTGCCAGGGAATTAATGGTAACAACGTATGAATCGCCTTAAGAATAGGAATTCTTTAGAAAAAAAAAAAATAGGAATTTCAACACTTTATTATGCTCACATGGAACCTGTACATGGATCAAGAACAATGTCAGACTGCATGGTTTAAAATCAGGAAGTGTCAGGATTGCATCTTCTTAACATACCAATTTAATCTGGATGCTAAGCCAGTATTCAGAGAAGCTGTACTCTAAGAGTGTGGCATCACTTCAGGATTGGAGGCTTATAAACAACCTGCAATATGCAGATGACACATACGTGCTGTGCTGCCAAAAGTGAGGACTTGAAGCACTTGCTCATGAAGATCAGGGCTTGTAGCCTCCAATATGTGTAACTCAATGTAAAGGGAGACCAAAATCCTCACAACTGGACCAATTGGGTACCATCATGGCAAACGGAGACAAAGCTTTAGTTGTGAACAGTGTTCACATAAGCAGCAGTCAAAAGATGATTTGCATTGAGTGAATCTGCTACACTTAAAAGAGTATTGAAAAGTAAGGATGTTACTTTAAGGACTCAACTGATCCAAGCCACGGTATTTTTAATTGCCACATATGCATGGGAGAATTGGGCACTGCAAGTACCAGACTGCTGGAAGAACAAACCAACTGGTCTTGGAAAAGGCACAACCAGCATGCTCCTTAGAGGCAAGGATGGTTTGCCTTCACCTTACATACTTTGGGCATGTTGTCAGTAGAGACCAGTCCCTGGAGGACATCACCCTTGGTAGAAGGGGAGGATTGAGATCCTCAGTGAGGTGGATTGGCAGTGGCTACAATGGGTTCATGCAAACACTTGATGGCCCAGGATGTTACACGTAGGCCCCTTGTCTGCCAACCTGTAACTATCATGGAATTTAAGAGACCTTGCAGTGAAGCATCTCCAGAGCTTAAGAGCTAGCCAGGTGGTAAAACACAATAATCTGTTCCAGAACCAGGAACAGACAGATCAGTTTGCACTGGCACATGATGCTCCCTAATCCTGTAGCCCACACCTGCCTAGCTGCTGGGTCTCATTCTAAACTGAGGATGTAGCCATCTTCTATTTCTATTTCAGGGCTATGATGATGTGACAGCGAAGGCCAAACAAGCAAGCAGAGGCTACCCCCAAGAGAATTCAGAGGACTGGAACACCAGCGAGCTTACTGTCCCTCAGTGGAAGCCACCCAGGCATGCCCAGCAGGCTAAGGCTGCATCTTCTAAATGGGATCGATTTCTTCTGTCACCTGAGACAAGCTCCCAAATGGATGCAGAGCTACCAAGACCACTGCAGACAGGCCCCTCAGCTGCTTCAACACAGCCTGAACCATGGACCCAGAGTCTGAAGGCAGGCCACCCCAACAGGGTCCTCAGTGCTCTCCAGCCTCCTTGGGTCCCACACACGCCCACATCTGGGGCCTGGGGGCCCTTCAGGCAGGCTGCCAAGCAGCCAGAGGGTGGGCACCAGGCCAAAGAGGCACCTCAGCCCACACCTGTGCAACTCCGTGACCTCTTCCAAACTGGTGAGGACTTTGATGAGGACCTGTGAATGGAGGCCACCCCTATTAATTTGGGTGTCTTTGTTATGTGAGCCTGATTCCACCATAACACTATATACCAGTGGAGAGAGGGTTCCCCTAATAAGTTAGCTCTAAACCATAGGGTTGAGTATCATTTCTGGGGACTATTGAAAGAACAATAAACACTGCAGTGAAACAGACCATTTTTTATTCCAGAGGACAACATGTGTGATTACTTAACAGCATATTAATTTTAAGTTGCTTACAAACATGGCTACAAAGGGATGATCATACTTCAGAAGCAACAGACACAAGGAGAGTGGTCATGGTTAGGGATGAGGAAGCATTCCATGAAAACCAACCTCTCAGATTTACCCCTTCAACCAGCTCTCAGCAGCCCTACTTTAGTCCGCAAGCACCAAAGGCAAGGCACCAGGCTGTCCTGTCCTCACCCCATTCCGTCCCCAGACCTGCTTTGGGACTGCTCTCCTCTTGCTTCCTGATGAAATTAGAATGTATCAGGTTTCTAACGATGAACTACTAAATGTCAGCATACTGTCAGTCACTTAAGAAAAAGCTGAAGGTCGTTAGGCAGGCTATATTCTTGACTGCTGGTAGGACCCCAGGGGCAGAGGGACAAGAACAAGCTCAAAATCAACAACAGCTAAGTCCTCAAACAGACACAAACTTTGAACAGCCCCCTCATATTGCTGCTGCTACTGTCCTAAATGACTCATGCATCCCACCCCCAGATTCTGGAAGAATGCATAGAAATTGACCTTTCCAAGAACTTGCTGCTCTACTCTACCTTAACAGAACTATTGAGACAAATGAGGGGTACAGATGAGGTGAGCAACATTGTCACAAGGGCGGTGGGTGCTTCGAATACTGGATGGTGTCCAGAGCAGCTCCGATGTCATAATTCTTGGTCTGCAGGAGCCTGGTGAGCCATCCACCTTCATCACAGAAACCCATGGACAGCATCTGGGAGAGCGACTCAATCAGCCGAGGGTCCGCTTCTGCCAGAGAATCACAGGAACCCATGAGGGGAGGCCTGCCAAAAGCGCAGCATGTGCCAACCAAAGTGGCCCTACAGCCTACCAACACTCAGCACCCATCATGCCAAACCTTCCGTGTGTGTGCCCACTAACTCTCATGGACTCCTAATGCAGGGAAAACTTCGATAAAGGGCCAGATAAGCTAAGCACTGCAGGCTACAGTATCTGGTCTCGGTCACGAAGTACTGAACTCTGGCCAGTCGCCTGGGCAGTAACAAGTAAACGTGTGCATGGCTGAATAACATTTTGATGGACGCTGAAATTTTAACTGCATACAATTTTCACATCAGGAAATATTCCTGCTTTCATTCCAACTATTTAAAAGTATTGAAAACATCGTGGGCCCACAGGCCGTTGTTTTGCCACCCCTGCTCTTAAGGCAGAGAGGGAGGATGCATGCCGGCAGGCCAAGGGCCAAAGTCAACCCAGACAGAAGCTAAGGAGCAGTTGCCCTCCTTTAATCAGGGCATGTTCCCAGGTCCCTACCCTACCCTAAGGCCTTACAGACCACCCCACTTGTGTACTCCACTCCTGGTTCCCACATGATCTGGGCTGTAACCCCTGCCTGAAGGTAAGGGAAGAAACCATGAAGTCCCTATGCATTGGCAATGCTGAATCCAGTGCTTTCCTGCATACCTGTCTGCCTTCATGCTGGGGCTGCCTAAGAAACCGCTGAAACTCAGAGTGTATTGCTCATATAAACTAAGAGGGTCAAACCACTTACAGGCCCAGATGAGCACCACAATCACAGCCTTGCTTCTGCTATTAAAACTACAGGCGTGTCTGGAAGGGAAAGGTGCTTTGTGCTTTTAAGTCACTTGCCTGGTGGCAGATGTGGGTACAGTGCCGCTTCCTTTAGCCCTGTGGGGCCATCCTGAGAAGGGTTCAGAGAGCTTGGCCCTTCTGATTCTGGCATCTGCAGAGACTGGAGCTCACCCGTAGATGGATCCACTTCTTTTGAAGACAAATGAGTCCAGTCGTCATCTCCTCCTGAACAGTTATCGGACTCCATCTGTTCCTGTAACAAAACTCACTGTGAGCATAAAGCAAAAGACAGAATCTGATCACAGCAGAGAGAGAGGGTGTGTGGGTGTCCAGAGGGTGGGGAGCTCAGGCAAGAAAAGGGCAGGAAGCAGCTGCTGCAAAGGCCAAATTCTGGGCTATTTAAGTTGGATTACTAAGTGCCCCAGAAATACCGGTAAGCGGCCAGTGTGCTGGTGAGGACAAAGGTGCATTAGACATAAAGTGCCTACTGACTTACTGTCCCTCCCAGGGCCTGGGAGAGCAGGCTTGCCTCAGGTTGTCCTACTGGCTCCAAGGCGATCTTCTGCATCTGCTCTGCCAGAGACTGCGTCCCGCTCTCCACACTGCCTTCAGGTTTGCTGGGCTCGGAGGAGCAGCTGCTTGGCTGTGAGTTGCACTTCTCTGTGCTAGCACTGTCTGCAGAGACTGTTGTCAGGCGGCTTCGTTTCCCTCCGTGTTCCACATCAATATCAACTTCAATGCCTAAAGGCCAAGGAGTAAATAAACGGATTAAGTTCTTCAGAAAGGACAGTAACCTCGGGGAGCTGTGGGGCTGCAAGTAGACGGAGTTCTTTCAGTCTTCCCGCAGGCATCTCTGGAGCCAGGATCAATCAGACACTGGCAATGAGAAGAGGTCAGACAGCCTTAGGCACACAGGTAGTTCCATAAACCCAAGAGCCAGAAGCAAACAAATGGTGGCCTTTGATTACTCTTCCTAAAATGTTATTAAACTTTTCCCAACTTGGTAAAACAGCAAGCAACTACGATCAGCCTGCACCAGCAAGTCCATAAAGACACTTTCCCCCCCTGACCAAGCCTCCACAAGGTACCTGGCAACTTCCATTCCATGTGCCTTTAGGGTGCTCCTGGGGAGACTGCCAACTCACTAGACAGTAAGAGAGGCTGTCCCAGGAGCCAGCCTCGGGCCAGGGAGGAAAGGAAGGCATGTGATGAGTGAGGGAAAAGTTCTGGAAGGCAGGTTGTGGGAAACCCAACACTGAGGCATGAGGATCTAGAGGATGGGAAGCAGTAGACTAGATGAGCCCAGAGGTGGTCCAAGTCCAGAAGACGGAGTTGAGTCTCACTCGTGGCCAAGGGAAGCTAACAGGGCCTCAGCAGTAGGGTGGCAGCTGAGTCTGTCTGGAAAGCACAGGACTTTAAAGCAGATAATATGCAAGAGGAGGTCCCTAAAAGATGAGTGAAGGCTATTCAGTAGCTCTGTCACTCCAGTTCATGTGGAGCTGGTAGTGACTTGGTCTCTTTGCCCCCTGCTCCAGGGCAGCCCCTGGTAGGCAGTAGTTCTTCTTAAAGAAAGGCAAAGACCCCTACTTCAATGTTAGGGACTTTCTCAACAACTCTCAATGCAAACAAATACTTTGTACATAGACTAGCAGGCTTCTTCTCACACATTAAGAGTTTCATAGTGGGTAAGTTGAATCATCAGAATGGGTATGCGTTAATAAACTGATCCATTCTGTAAACCATCTAATTTGTAATAAAATACTAAGTTATATTCCCAAATGTGTTCAGTAGGGAGGTCACCCTTCTTGGTTCTGAAACATTCTACCAGCAGACGGCTCTGGGGAGGCATCAAATGCAATGCAGGATGACCCAGGAGCCCTCAGAAAACCAATGACAAGCCCCTGCAACTCAAGTGGGACATGTATGTCCTGGGTTATAACTTACCAAGACAGCTCATTCTGCTAATGAAGGACTTTGTTCTTCTAAGTATTTAATAGCCATTTCCAGGCATTAAAACATAGACCAAAAATGCCATAAGGGATTCTGAAACACACCCTGAGCAGCACTGCTCACTGACTTCCTCAAAGGCTTCCCAAGGGCCCGGAACCCCACAGGCTTAGTTAGCATGGGATGGCAAAATGTCCTTCCCTCAAAAAGACCAACCAGAAGCCAGCAGTTAAGTCCTTCAACCAGCCACTTTTCTAATAGCAAATGTCTCATTCATGGCCAACCCCATGTCCCTCCCTTGGGAGCTAGGGGATTTATCAAGGAATTGAGCCTTTAGTTGCTTATGATCTAGCACTTAACAAAGGCTGGCTTAAGGCCACACACCGAACAGTCTCAAGGCCACATCATTTACCAAGGCCACATCATTTACCATCTCGAGAACCCAAGGGAAGAAAGCCAAAAGCTCACATTCACACTTAGCTACCAAGACACTCAGCTGTTACAAAAGGATGAAAGACCACTTACCCAGGGGGCTGAGCGCAGCTGCCACACTTTCCCCTACGTTCTTCAGAAAGTTAACACTTGGATCCTCTGACGGACCAGCAGCTTTAAAATTAAGAGGTTATTTAACACATTTCTCAATGACTGATTCCTATCTAGTCCCACCACCTTCCTCCTAAGGACACCAGCACCAACCCCCACCACCACCCCCAGCCACTTCACCCTGTTAATCCTTTGCCTGTGTGCTTGGTGTGATCATTCCACTTTATCTTTACTTGTACATGCAAGTGTAGGGGTTGGTATTCAACATACCCGGTCATAGTCTGATGGTGCCTCCATGTGGAGGTGGTCTGGGAACCTCCTCTGCATTCACCTTCCTGCTGGTGGGCACTGGTTGTGTCAGAACCACTGCCATTAAACCTCCTTAACTTTGCACCCACTACCCTGTTACACTCCTGCATTCTACATCATTTCATGTAGCTTCAGGATTCTGAAGAGGGGCTTCTGGACTAGTACCACACTAGTTGGACTGGGCAGGAACATTTTTCTTGATATACAATTATACCTTGATATAAAGCTTCCTTACACAATCGTCTCAATTTAGTCTGACCCCTGCCTTACATTCTTTGGCTAGATCATACAGGGCCATTTCATCTTCCAGATAGAAGATAAATTTTTAAGTTTTTGATTCAAGTAGAACGCTGTAGTTGTTTTGATCTCAGGAAGCAAAAATGCCTGTTGAGATCACGCTTCTTAGTCAAAATGGCTGATGAAAGGCCTGGCCCTGGTTTAATGCAACCAGACCTAATGCCATATTGCACATTGAAGTCCAGAGAATATTGAACTGAGATCATATCGAAGATCCGGCCATACTAGGAATTGTTATCGTGGTAGGAATTGCTGGTCTGAAGTTTGAGCAGAACGTGGGCCTATGGCATAACCAAGGGGGATACAGTGGTTGAGGATTTGTGGAGTCCACGGTTGAAAGGGATCACCCAGTGAGGCTAAGCAAGGACACCCATGCTGAATTGGCCAGAACCTAACTAGATGGGGAGTGTGTAGACTGTGCATTATTACTGACTTTATGGGCAGCCTTCCTGAACAGACCACTTATGGATGCAAATTCAAGGTTCCAAGTGGAAGATTCTTCAGAAAGAACATGCTGGTCTCCTCAGAAAACTGGGTTGATGTAAGTGGGCAGGACAAAAACTGGATACCCAAAATGATGTAATGAAGGCATGAAGTGGCTGGTTTGCAAACTGTAATTGTTAGGCATAGACTATTTTTTTTGTTGACTTACATTGGACTGGCACTTTTAGGTGATTTTTCTAGTCTTAAAAATTATGTCTGGTTAAAAGAGTTGTTTGAAAGTGTCAAATAGTCAAGGGGAGTCTGTGGCAGTAACAATTTCATGTTAGTATGAATATAAAAGTAGAGGGGGATTATTCAGCCTGTCAATTGGGTCACCGCCTGATGGATGCCTCCTTGTGGGTGTGGTTTTCCCATGAGGGCCCTGGGAACACCCCCCCGCCCTGGGAACACCCCCCCACCCCCTTCTCTCTACCTTCACCTTCCTACTGGTGGACCCTGGTTACTGCCAGAGCCAAGCCACCGACCTGTGATACCCCTAGATCACTGCATGTGGCTTCGGGAATCTGAAGAGGGACTTGTTTTTCTAGTGACTTGGGCCTAACACTTGATTACCAAGCAAGGTTCAGGATGTGACATGTAACTACTGGCCATGTCTGGTATACGCTATTTACTCAAAGGAAAAAATCCACCTTTGTCCCAAAGGATGAAACAAGGATTAATAAAACTCAAGAAAGTCACAACCAAATGTAATCATGTTAATAAAAGTAGATACAGCTCTGGGTTTCCTAGAGCTGCTATGGAACAGAGTTGCCCTCGAGCAATCCTGCGGCCCCTCTGCACTCCCGATACACTCCACTGCAGGGCTCTTGTGATGACGCATAGCAGGTGCACGGATTGGAGGAGATCACTGATGAATGAAGAAATGGCCCTCCAGCATGGCAGGTTTCCAACAGCTCAGGGTGCCTAAAAGTGAGGTTCACCTGTTTCATTGGGGCTGGGGCGGGCATCCCCTGCCCGAGGAGGACGTGGGCTCCAGTTGCCTGGTGGGCCCATTTCCCAGCCTGGCCACCCGAAGTGCCCATGTTTCAGCTTCCGGAGCCAGCGGCTATGAGCCACACCCTATATGGGAAGAACAGGCAGTGCAGGGTCAGAGGATCCCTGCCACCCTCTCACCCACCCTAGCTTGGGACCGGAGGTTCTACTCACCTCAGTGTGCATCATGGGGCTGAAGGAGGCAAACTTGGTGTGCTCGCTGTGCATGCCCTTGCCCTCACAGGCAGCACACAGATCATAGTTCGGGCAGACACTGCACATGTAGCGGGTCCCCACTACAGGGCCATTGCAGCCATCACAGATCACATTGGGATGCACCAAGCTGGTAGGCACCTCTTGAGCACACATGGGGCGGTGCTCCCGCCGGCACTCCTTCTTCTCTGCAGAAAGGGTCATAAAGACAGTAAGGTAAAGCCCCCAAGTTCCTCCCCAAACATCACTATTGTGGGGCTTTCAAAGCCAGCAAAGCCGAATGCCTCTGGTTCACCAAAACACCCAATTCCACGGAATTCAGCTTTCTCAGGTGACGGCAAGAAAGCAACCCAAGAACCTAAGAGATTCCTAATACCTGAAGCGGAGAACTGGGCATATAGGGCCCAGCCAGCTGAAGAGCAGCACAGAACTCAGAACTGTTGCTATACCAGCTTTCCTCACTAGACCCCCCACACTGGACCGGTGACTACCCCAGGGCCCATGGCACCTAGTCTGTGCATAAGAGTAATCCCAGAGACCCTTCAGATCCTGCTCCCTATTCTCCATGGTGAACGTGATCCCCTTTTACTGGGCAAACTCAGCATCCAGCATGCCTCAGTCATAAATAGCCCTCCAAGTCCCAGCTCTCAAGCCCAACTTTTACTGAGCAAGCACTCTGCTTCGGTCTGCACCCAGTACTTACCTTTGATGTAAATACGGAAGATGTCATCCTTCACATAGGTCAATGCCATTGTCAGCTCCTCGTCACTGGAAAAGGCAACCAAGTCTCCATCCTCATCTAGATGGTTTAAAAGACAGCACTTGAGTACCTGGCTGCAGTATGGGCTACTCCTTAAGAGAATCGAATCCCTATGTGGGCTGCGCGAAATGGATCGAGACATTTGCCCAGTCATTAACACTACTGGGAAACGTAAGGGCACCTGAATCATGGGCTACATGCCAGAAGCAAGTGTGTGCAGAACTCAACTGACAGCAGCCACCCAATGCCTTACCTCAAAGACAGCAGCCTCTTTAAAAGGGTGCTGCCTCAATCCATATCCAACCAGGCCCATCTTCAAGTGTGGCAACTCTACCTGGGAGAAGCTAGTCCTTAACATACTATTAGTAAAAGGCTTCTTAAAAGTTTTAGATTAAAAAAAAAAAGTTTTAGATAATAGACAAGCTCGCCAGCCTGTTTCCTAGTGGCATCACTGGGAGGTGCAGACTGTACTGGGATTCACTCAAGTGACACCAAAATGACTGTCTATAAAATTGTAGTGCAATGAACTGATAGAAATTTACTTTTATTAAAAGAGCTCTGTAAGTTATAAAATGATCCCAACTTTTTCAAAGCTTAAACTATGCTAATTTACTGTTTCCATTCAATGTGCTCTGGTTAGAGCTGTCGTTACCCAATTACAACACTCAACATCACCTGGCAATAAGCAGCACACGATTTCTTTTGTTGCTGCCAGTTTTTATATTCACTGTCAAATTTTGTTTTAGCTACAGTGACGTGGCAATATTCATGAACATGCATTGAGAACTTTGAGTAGTAATTAATGAACAACTAAAAGTAACAATTCAACACACAAAACCTTTAGTATTCATCTATTTTATCAAAGCAATTAATTTTATGATCTCACATCTTATTAATAAAATTGATCATGAACATTATTAAGGATACTGTGTATGTCTGCCCTAAGACGGTAATTACGTCCATGGAGGAAAGCAGGTGACACCAGGGCCAGTAATGCTGCTTCCTACCCTGAAGAAGCTAAAACTCCGTAACAGGACATATTATACTCTCCAATTTTTAGATGTTGGCTCACACTTGCCAAGCCACACACCGCCCCCTGCAGACTAGATAAGCCTGTGGGCCACCAGATGGAAACATCAAGAACAGGGGTGGTGCCAAAAGGTGGAAACAAGCCTAGTGTCTACCAATTGGATAATTAGAACCCATATAATGGGCTAATATTCCACCATCAAATTACATCACACTACAACATGGATGCATAGTGAGAAGTCACAGAATCCCTATGATTCAAATGTCCAGAACATGCAAAACTATAGAAACAGGAGATTATTGGTAGTTTATAGCTACAGGTGGTCAGGCTGTTGGGATGGGAGGGTGCTGATATGTAAATATTGGCTTCTCCATAAATGAGAACAGACTTAATGCTGCCATCCCCAAGACTATGGGTCTTCAGAACACACACGCACGAACAAGAATAAAAAAATAATCAAAAGGGTAGTGCTTACTCAAGCAATTTCAGAAAATTAAGGAATGGAAACAGGAAAAAGGCAGATAGTTGAGGGTTCACCAGGAGTTAACAGGAGTTATCAAAAAACGTTTATGAATGCTAAAGTGGTACATCCTTAAACCATCTAACCCACATTAAAAAACTCACTGCCTGGAGTCTGCAGACACACAGCAGCCCTATAGGTCCAGCTGCCCCTGTGGTTCTTCGGGACAGTCGAAAGCCCAGTTTTTACAGCCTGGAGCAGAGGGTTTCAAACTGCAAAAACTGGATCGCAACCCAACTCATGAAAAGTTTTTAATGATTAGAAGGTTTTTTAAAAAATCATTTTATTGGGAGGACCTAATGCCAGGGGCTTAAGTGGAGAGGAAATGTTTTGAGAATGAGGGCAATGAATGTACAAATGCGCTTTACACAATTGATTTATGTATGGATTGTGATGAGTTGTATGAGCCCCTAATAAAATGATTAGGAAAAAAAATTTTATTGGGGGCTCTTATCACCAATCCATCCATTGTGTCAAGTACATTTATTTGTTGCCATCATTTTCAAAACATTCTTTGTACTTGAGCCCTTGGTATCAGTTCATTGTCCGCCCCCCCCCCCCATGAACCCTCAGTAATTTATAAACTATTTTTTTCATGTCTTACATCGACCGCTGTCTCCCCTCACCACTTTTCTGTTGTCCTGGCCCCCTGGGTGGGGGTTATACATCCATCATTGTGAGAGGTTTCCGTTTGTTGTTTTTTTTAGTATGGGATTATGGGGTTTCTTCTCAAGGTAAAGAAAAGATGTTCTGCGGGGAGCGCTGCATAAGTCTGTGGATGTGTTTAACTATGGAGTTGCACACTATGTAGATGAAATGTAGCTCCAAAGTGTTTTCAAAAGAAACGCGTCAGGCGTTAAGCCCAGCCCAGTCCCCCCGTGGAGGCTGGTCGGGCCGGCCCGGCCCCCTCCCGCACAGCAGCCCGAGAAGTAATCAGGCTAGCCGCAGGGGCGCTCCCAGGCCCCGCCCCCACCGCCGCCGCCGCGGAGCGCACTGGGCTGGCCTCGGGCGAGCGAGCGAGCGAGCGTTCGCGGCCCGGCCCCATCTCGGAGCTCCCCGCCCCCACTGTTTACCTGCGTCACTCCTCCCCGCCCCCAGAGCCCCTTCCTCCCGGCCGGCCGCCGGCTCCTCCTCAGCCACGGGGCGAGCTGGCCCAGCCTCTCAGCCGCAAGAGGTGCGCCTCAGCCGAGTGCCCGCCGCCCGGGGTCGAGAGGACGCCCCGGAGCGTCCTTGCCAAGCTCTGCCGCCTCATGGCGGGGGCGAGGGTCTGCCGCCTTCGGGCCTGAAACCTGCCCTCCTGCCGCCCCGGGCCTCCGGAGGGCCGGAAGCGGACCTCGGCCCCTCCCCCTCCTGGGACCCCCGAGTGCCACCTGAAGCCAAACGGTGGCCCTCTCCCGGGCCGCCGCCCACCCAGCCGCCAGAGCAGCCTTCCCGCAGCCCCCCACACGCCGACGAGACGGGAGAGTAAGCTTCCCCGCGGCGCAGGGCAGGCCGTCGGCGGCCGCTCGGCCTGCGTCACGCCGCCGCCCCCGGCCCGCTCACCACGGTAGTACGCCTGGAAGCCTGCGGGCCGCAGCCCCGGGAACACGGCGGCCACCCGGCTCAGCAGGCGCTCGCAGGGCCCGGGCCCCGCTGCGGCCTCGGCCTCGGGCTCGGGCTCGGCGCTGGCGCAGAAGCTGAAGCGGCGAATCTCGCGGGCCGCTTCTTCCTTCCCCAGAAGGTAGGCCTTGACGGTGAGCGGCGCCATAGCTGTAACGGCCGCTCTGAGTCGGAGCCGAACTGGATTAGCTTCGACGCCGGCGCGCTAGATTTATAGGAAACCCGGGAAGCTCCGCCCCCCCGGATATCTTGGGGGCGGAGTCTCCACGCAGTCTTCCCTGCCACGGTTCTGCTGCGGAGTGCGAGAGCCGCCCTGCTGGGGCCCCGCACCCACTTTACCTTAGGTCTTCTGTCATCCCCACAGGCGGTCGCCAGCCCCCTTAATTGTCAGCCCCTTTCCTCACTGTCCCCAGTGCAGCAGACCCCCAAGAGGCTCCCAGTGGCAGTCCAATGTGTAAGCCTGGGCTTTGGGACAAAAGACAGGCAGGGGGTCCCTCCCAGGCCTGGGCCCTGGCCATGACTCAGCAAAGTGTCCCCTGGCGCCTCGGGGATGCCCAGGGCAGGGGGAGGGGCAGCACAGAAGCCCAACGCCAGGAAGTGAGTGTCTGGGCAGTCCCGTGGCCACAGAACAAGCCAAAGAAAACTGACCCTGTCGGTTGGTAGCCCCCTAGCCATGGGAGCAATCCGCTTCCTGGGGGACAGCTCCCACTTTAATGGGTGAGGGGAGTGAGTTAAAAAGTACTAGGGGTGTGCAGGGAGCGTGGACAATTGAGTATCCCCAGAACCCCGACCCTGTGGAAGGGCCAGGTACGACTTCTTGTGGTGATGATGGTCATCACATGTTCAGGATAGCCCAAGGTGGCCAGACACCCAACCATCATCACAGAATTCAATTCAGCAAGCCGGTGGGATCACAGCTCACTGAACTCATGGGCAGGGGCAGTGATGCCATCGCTCTAAGCCAAGAAACACTTTTATGTGAATCAGTTGCCCCCAAACCAAAGGTGCCCCTGACAGGCCCGGTTTCATCCTAAACCTTGAAATAGTCCTAATGCCATCTTGAGTCTCCACATTCACGTTCTGACCTCCAAGTTGCTAAGGTGCAATTCCAAAGAGACAGGGAAGGACAGTAGCCCTGAGCAATCTCCTTTGTAATCTGGAAAGAGGAGCTGGTGGTTTAAGGGAAAGAAGTGAAGGAGGAAAACATACAAATAATAAGAATAGACTAAGGAAGTTCCTGCTCTAGACCAGGATATGTAAATAGCAGAGTGCCATCTCCTTTGTCTTCCCCAATTCTAGCTCAAAGAATCACCAAAAGACACCCCCCTCCTTTCATTGCCTTTATCACAACACAAAAAACTGTTGTCTAGTGGATTCCAGCCGGTGTGGCAGGATAGAACTGCTTGGGTGGGCTTCCCAGGCGGTAGCTGCAGAACCACTGGTGGTTCTGAACTTCGGCTGACCATATATGGTTGGCAGCAGCCCAATCCATAACCACTTTGGCCCCAGGGCACCTTGTCTTTATCACAAAGCCTTTGCAGACATAGGTTTGATGGTGTGTCAGACTGTTTCCGGTCACTTTTCTCTCTACTGCATATACAGAATAAAATTTTATTTTCCCTCATCATTATGTCTTCTGGTGATTTCCCCCTAGGACATTGCTACCTAGGAAACCTATTTGGAAGACCTGGGGAAGCACCGTCCCAGGGACCCCGAGGAGGTAGGCAGGGAGAGTGTATATGTCACCCTATTTCACACTCATAGGGACCAAACATGCTGGGGCAAATAAATGCTCTTTTACAGTGGACTTTGTGGAAGCAACAGGGCTGGGGAAACCAAGGAACAGTTGGTTGGACTGGCGGGTAGCAAGCACGAAGCTATTTGCGGGTAAGGACAAGCGGGGCTGGGAAGTGATGGGCTTGTCCACTGATGTGGCTGCACCTTTCCAGATGGCACGAAGAACAGGCAAGGCCTCACATGTCTTGTGGAAACGGCAGCCCCCTCTCCACCCCACTCCCCTACGTCTGCAAGGTGAGCCTGGGACAGTGCGCACTGTCCTACTGAGGAACAGGACCCTACTGGAAAGGACCCCCGAGGTAGGAGGTCCAGGCATCCTGGGCCGAGGCTGAGGGCCTCGGGCGAGTAGGAGAGGTCGTGACTCAGCAGCGCCCCGACCTGGGAGGCAGGCCGGCCGGCCCGGCGCGATGCTCCGCCCCTCTCCCCCGGTAGCTCCGCCCCCAAGGCGCTGGCGTCCGCGTCCCAGCAGGCTGGGAGCGCGTCTGTGACTGGGAAGCCGGCTTCGGAGACTGCGCAAGGCGCCGACACGCGCGGCGACCCCGACGCCGCCACCTTTGCTTTCTGGTCACCTCTGTTTTCTGGTCACTTCGGCCCGTCTGGCTAGAAAAGGGCTCTAACTCGCTCGTCCGAAATGTAAACCTTCACCTAGTTTACAACTTAAGAAGAATAACGGAATTTTCACACACACACACACACACACACACACACACACACACAGGAAGAAACGGGCTGTAGAGGGCAGTCCTGTAGACGACCCCAAGCCCACCTCCCCTCCCTCTTCCCACCACCCCCGACCCTGGGAGCCGCGGCCAAGGCTTTCCCAGCATGCCACGCTGATGAGCGCGGCCCTCGCCCTCCCCGCCCCTGGGCCGTCCAAGAGGTAAACAAGTTGCACGTTGGGGAACCCCCTGGCAGGGCCCTCTCGCCGGCCTCTGCGCGGTCAGGTGGTCCGGCCTTGAGTCAGCGTCCCGTGATCGCCGTCATGATCTGGAGTTCCCCGGCCCTAAATCCCTGGACCCTCACCCCAGCTCTCAGTGACACCATGTTAAGAGACGGGGGCAAACGGCTGGGGCCGGGCCAGGAGTGGGAGGCAGGGTGGGCCTAGCGCGGGGCTGGGCATGAAATTGGTGGCTGTAGCCAGACTTTGTGATCCAGACCCTCTCTGGCTGCTGCCATTCGCCTGTCATTCCCTAGGATGCAAAGACGTCCGGGGCCTTTCCTGGCCTCCTCCTATGTGTCTTGATCCCCATTCCACCTTCCAGGGCAGGAGCACTCAGCACTCTGGAAAACTTGACCATTAGGCTGATGACTTGGGCTCCCAACCCCTTTGGGGCTAAAGCCTCTAAGTTTCCGAATCTTAGGATTCTAAGTGGAATGACTGGAATCTCCCCTCCCAGGTGAGCTCCACCCCCACCCAAGTGTCCTACGTGGTTTTTGTCTGCTTTTAGGGGTGGGAACTTGGGAGTTGAGGCTCGGTTAAAAGGTATGGGTACAGAAGGAGAGGGCAGAGATTCTGGGAGATAGCCGTGGTATGAGGAAATCTGATTTTGTTTAGGACTGTCTGGTGTGCTCTTCTTTCCCTGAGCCTCGCCCTGCATGACTATCACATCACAGCAGTTTGACAAGGCTTTCTGGAGCTCAGCTGATTTCCTTAGGTGAGGTGTGGAGTCAAGCCCTCCTAGGTGTGGGGCCCACAGCTAGGGCACCAGACACAAGGGGGGCTTGGCTGAGCTGTTCTGGCTCATCCTTAAAAATTAACTGAGAATCAAACCAATTCATTACCATTGACTTGCTTCCAATTCATAGGCACCCTTTAGGACTAAGGGAAGAGGGAGCCACAGGTGGGGTTGCTCCCAAGCCTTCTTCACTGCCATGGACCTGTCTGTCCCTCACTTCCTCTCACTGCAAGGGCCACACCCCTGCTCTCTTTTTATCTAACATGTCAACTCATTCCATCTGGTCTTTTTTCTGGCTTTTGTTTTAGGGCTAAGAAGAATATTTATTAGGCCCTAGAAGTGACAAAGGTAACACAAAGACACATACATCTCCAGCTACAGGAGACCTCCAACTCAAGGTTGAAGTATTGGCTGGCGGTTCACAATTGAGACTCCAGATAAATAAGGCGTGGATGGGTGGATGGGCAAAGGAACTGTCACAAGCATGAATGGTAGCAGATCAGTACATCACAGCTCAGGTGGGACTTGGATGGGCCCCCGATGGGGACATGCACATCTTAGATAGAAGGGCTTACTAGACTGCGCCTCCCAACCATGGCTGTCAGGGCCAAACTCATGACTATTTGCCCTACTGTCTCTTCCCCAGTACAGTGACCTCCATGAACGGCACTGTTAGGCAGGCCCTCAAGAGAGAAACTGTCCCTTCCTGGGCTGGTTGCAGGCACTCTCCAAGGCATACTGCCTGAGGACAATATTATCTCTAGCAATGGTTCTCAACCTTCCAATGCCTTAAGCCTTTAATACAGTTCCTCATGCTGTGGTAACTGCCCAACCATAAAATTATTTTCATTGACTTCATAACTGTGATTTTGCTGCTGTTATGAATCAGGCGACCGCTGTGAAAGGGTCGTTCGACACCTGAAGGGGTCACGACCCACAGGTTGAGAACCACTGAATAGCCTGGGGTAAGATCAGAAAGCATTTACTGGAGGTTGTTTTCTACGTGGGCCTTCTGCAGATAGCTTTTGGACTATCACTGCCACCCATAGCCTTTTTCAAACCAGGGTGCTCAGAATTTAAGCTCTAATACCCTCTTTCCTTTGCGTGGAACCCTGCCTGCCCTCTGCTCTGCATGGCAACCTCCTACCCTAAATGGCACCTCCTCAGTGGGGCCTTCCCTGTCCACTCCATCTTAGAAAAATCCTCACATATTGGTCATTGCCTCATTTTAGCTCTTTCTGCAAGGCCCAAAGCCCAACCAAGAGGCAAGACCACACTAGGGGAGTGGGAGGTGCAGGGCGGGGTTGGGGGGGAGGGTAGCTTAGGAAGACCTTTCTAAAAGAAGAGGCTCAAGTCATTTGTCATCAGGGAAATGTAAGTTAAAACAACTGGGGACACAGTTGGTGAGTTCAATGATGCCAAGTGTTGTTGGGCCCAGGGGGAACCAGGCCCCCTTCCTGACTATTGCTGTGGCCTTTCTGTCGAGTGGCTACAGGGGTAACTGCAGGGAAGTCTAGCCACACCATGACACAGGGCCACGGGGATGGGTCTTTCCAAGGACACACGGTGGAAAACTAGTGGATCAGGGGCTTAACACGGGGCTTGTCTGTAAATGGAAATGAGATAAGCTCGTGCTCAAGAGTTGGGCAGCTAATCCCAAAATCTGCAGTTCCAAACCAAAAGTCCCTCCCCTG